CAATCCCCAGTTGGCACATTCAGGAGTCAACAGATCACTGTTTCTGTCTTACATCAGTGTTTCTCTCTCTCTCTCTTAAAAATAATCAATAAACATATCTTCAGGTAAGGATTTAAGAAAAGATTTCTAATTATATCAAAGGGAAAATATATTTTTTTGTTTTTAGCTAGTCATGTTAGGATTTTCCTTTAAATTATGTCTTCAGTTTGACTGACAAGTTTATGTAATAGAACAGAAAATTAAATTTTCTGCACCTGTCCTTGAGAATTAAATTATTCACTTATTTCTTAATAATTTGACTACTGATAGAGGAAATGGGTAAGAGATCTCTGGTGTGCTCATTGTTTCTCCCTCATTTCCATGCATGGACAGAAAGGTGTTTTTTTCCTCTGTGCCGTGACAGGTAGTTGCCTGCCATTAACACAGAAGGAGTCCTTCTTGGACTGAGGATTCTCTGGGCTTGAGGTCTCCTAACAATCTAATTATCCTAAAGCTTCTTATCTGGTCTTTTTTCTATCTCTTGACATAACTGTACTATCCTTCTCTCCCAAATAAAAAGAAAATCAACTTTACTTTACTTTGATTTTAAAACTACAAGTCATATAAGATGCTTTGATGTGAAGAAAGACCTCAAATAAAACCATTCAAACCATGACAGTTGATCCTACTACAAAAAAGATTTTTAAAAATCACTCTGCAGAGCTATGTAGAACTGGGTGCCAGATTTATATCAAGTGATAATCACTAGTTATGATGAAATAATAAAAGGAAGTCTTTTCATGTAAAATGCTTAGATGTAAATATTTCAAGTGTTTTGTACTTTTTCTGAACCCAGTAAAACTGGTTTATAAGTCTGGATTATTTGTTGTTACTCATCTTTTAATTAATAGTGTAGCCAGTTATTTTCACAGGAAATCAATACTTATAATAATACCTTGCATTTCACTTAACAGGGTAAATCTTATTCCCTGTGTGAAGGGTTAAAGGTCACTGAACTCTGTTTACAAATGGGAAAACCCAAAAGAACTGACACACCAACTACAAAATTGAATGAGAAAGACAAGCGTCCAGTTATACACTTATGTAATTTATTATTCATGCACAATACCAATGTCCTTGTAAGGGTTGGTCAGCAGTCAGGATATTTACACTGGCTTAACAGACTGAAATTTTGTTAAATTAATGTTTATTTGATGATAATACCTAATTCTTTTTTATAGCTCTTACTCAGTCTGGTAAAGTTTCTTTGACATGGCAAGGGGGCCTAGATTTTACATCTGTACCTCTCAAACTGCCTTTGAGGAAGGATCAGTTTTCCCACTAATCAATCTTGAGCCAATACTTAAGTAAAAAAGAAATATTTTTTTTAAAAATATCACGCCTTCAGTTGTTGCAACAGTATCAAATTGTCCTAAAGGATTCCAAATGGTCACTTTCAATTACTTGAAGCCTGGTTTTTTTTAAGGCCTCAGACTGGTGCTGGTCCTTTGTGAACAGCATACAGACCACTCATGGAAATTCTTGCCTTAACAGAGGGGTCTTAAGCCACTGTTTACGCATCATTGCACCGGACAATGCTTGCTTCTGTCACACATGGAAAGAACCTGGCCTTACCTTTTTTCCCTATGATGATTTCTAACTTCCTTCAACCAGTTTATTGAAGGACATGCTAAAACTGATAGCCACTCTTAGCATGGATCTTGCAGACTCATTGTGTTGCTACGAAAGTCAACTTTGTTTCTTGCTGCAGTTTCACCACTTATGAACTTGATGTTATTAGATAATCTTGATCGAATGTGAATGATGGCTTCTTTGGAAAAAACCTCAGTGGCATATCATACAGTCTGGGTTCAGGGGTTGCAACTCCAGTTTGAATGTGTCATGTAGATATTTGTCCTGTTCCCAGGCACATTTGTTTACAATGATGTTACGCAGACCTTCAATGTTACTATAAATTGCTGCTTCTCTTACCGCTATACATAGATGAAGCTTCTCTTTTATGACTCAGGCTACTAACAAAATCCTAAGACTTGCTTACCTGGACCTCTTACCCCAGAAGTAAGTGGCTTAACACAGGTAACAGTCTCCACTTTAGCAGACAGCTACTCTGGACTGAAAGAGTCTGAAAGGTAGTGGTTCTAGAAATAGCAGCAGGCATTGCGGCAGGCCAGGAGAAAAGAGAAACCATATGGGACTGCTGTGTACTGTTGGGTGAGGGAAGAAAGGAGGGTGATGGAGAGGAGATGCCTCAGGTGGGTTTGATCAGTTGCTATGGTTTCTCAGGCCTTTTTAATACCAGAGGCTGGCAGCTGTGTAAGTACATTATTGACATGCAGATTTAGATGCAGGCTCCCTGGGAAGAACCTGAGGAAGAAATGACTGTATGCTGCTTAGGTTGGGTTAAGCCTGAGAAACAGTCCACAGTGAAAGGCTCTATAAAAAAACAATCAAGAGAGTGGATTTGATGGTAAAGAAAAATGATGTAGAAGAGGACATTATGTACTTTGGAGGACCAGCCTTGTTCAGGAGAAATTCTACGTCTCATCACCAGCTCAGCGTGCTCACCTGGGAAACGGCATCACAGAATGACAGTCATTGTGTTCAGTGAACTTGGAGTCAGAATTTCTGGGTGCAAGCCCTGGACTCCAAGTTAGCATCTTGGCAACCTTAACAAGCCATCTCACCCTTTTTCACCTCTGTTTTCTCATCTGTTAAACATGCACTGAGCTCTGGAAGCTATTATGAGGTTCAAATCAGATAATCTATACAAAAACCACAATTTAACATTTCTGTGTCTACAACACCAATACCTTCCCTTGCTTACCCTATCTCCCCCCCAAAAAAAACCAATATAAAGTAGACTAATTGCTATGAATGACACTTATTTTTAATGGCTAATGCAGGACTCCGGGATCATCCAGAGTCACCATTTACCCACATCGTTATATTGACAATTCTGAGGAGATAGCTGCATGAGAGCATTTGGTCTGAAGGCTAGTTTTATCTACAAGATAACAGAGGGACATCTGTGTGTGACAATTTATGTAAGAATGGACACCCTCATACACACACCCAAGCATATACTTTGTGTAAAATGATGGAATGCTAGGAGTCAGCCTTATAAGGAACAGCACATAATTATCAGAGCTTCTTTTTCTTTTTAAAGTAACTTAAATAAATGGCAAGTTTCTCCTTATAATCAAACTAGTTGTCATGGTTCATACCGTATGACTGTGGTCCAGAGAGAATTTTATATCACAAGGCAGAGTAGACTTGTCTATGAGAGAGAATTTTCCATTGCAAAAGTAGTACCATTCTCTTTATCCTGCTTTTCCTCATGTAACATCTAACATAAGCATAGTACCATTGTTGAAACCAAGATATTAAGATTGATACCATACCATATTAATAGTCTCTAGCAATCTAGAGACTATTCACATTTGCCAGTTTTCCCACTAATGTCCTTTTTCTGATCTAGGATTTCTAGGATTTCACATTATGTTTATATATCCTATTTTCTTAGTTTCCTCTAATCTCTAACTATTCTTTGTTTAAAAAAAATTTTTTTCCCAACTTTACGCTTGGAAGAGTACTAGCCACTATTTCGTAGAATGCTCTTTAATTTTGGTTTGTCTACTGTTTTCTCATGATTAGATTGAGGTTATAAATTTTTGACAAGAAAACCACAAAAGGAATGAGGTGCCCTTCTTAGTGAATGTGTCACTAGGTATCACTGGTGAGGTTAACTTTGATCACTTGGTTAAGGTGGTCTGCTAAGTTTCTTCATTATAAACTAATGGTTTTTCTCTTTGCAATTAATAAGTGTGTCTTTTTGTTGTTGTTGCTTTCTTAAATCAGTGGTTAAGGTTGGAGCGGTGTCACTCACAGAAGGTTGCAGAGTCCTGTCCTGGTGGAAAGAAGCTGTGTCCTGGAAAGTGATGGAGTCATTATTTAAGTGTTTGAATAGATTGGTCTCAATCCATGCTGAAATGGATTGCCTGACATTATGTTGCAGAATTTTTAAGTTCTACCTCCAGGCAAATCTCATAGTTACTAGCAAAAATGAAAGTGTGAAATGCTTTTTAATGTATATTTAACAATACATATTGTCGTGATTACTGATGTGTATTCTCTGTGGACTCCCTTGCTATCAGGCGGGGACGTTAAGAGACAACATTTTCACACATTTATTCTATCTAAATCCATCACATGTTTACTTTCTAAACATCTGTAATTGTCACTTATAACAAGATCATAAAAGTCAAATGTTTTAATTCTAACTCAAACTTTGAATCATAGGATTATAATCAATTTTCTAGAAAAGTACAATTACTGTTTATTCCTATTCAACCTTATGAAATTGCCCAGTATTAAATGTCACTAGAATATAGCCATTAAAAAAAGAAAACTATATATGGCTTAGTAATGGGGTATAGGAGGTAATATTACTTTATTCATCTTTTTGATTTAGAAAGTCACATAATAATACCTTTTGAAAGGAGTTTTCATCGTTGACCCCAGTGTTATGTCTGCTTGTGTTGAAGAAATAAAATTTGCAAAATACACTTAATTCTTTCCTACAGTGTCATTATTTAATAAGGATTAAGGTAACTTTTTTTGCATTTTTACTGGGTTTCACAGCAAGAGTTCACGTCTTGTACTAATATATGCTAAATAGTTGCATAGTATATAGACCATTGTTGTTAAAATAGCAGTAGTGAAGGCATTTTAGATCACAGAGCCCCAGTGGTCTACATTTTGTTTGTTTTGACATTATTAAACTCAATCTGTTTCTCTAACTGTGACTCTAATTACTACATTTGCATGGCAGAAAAGTTTGCTTTGTGGGTTGACTTTTATTAACAGTGTTTGCATGTTGTTTCCTGCTCTCGCTCTCGATATTTCATGAGCAGACAGAGCACCTTCAGTTACATTGAATAATTATGCACAATCAATAAGTTTTTGTGTTTGTCTTTGTTTTTCTTTGATGTGGCCTCTAGGATGCTGCCGGCAAGGTGCTGGACCGCTGGGCCATCATGTCTCGAGAAGAGGAAATCATCACCCTTCAGCAGTTTCTGCGGTTTGGAGAAACCAAATCCATTGTAGAGCTGATGGCAATTCAGGAGAAGGAAGGGCAGGCCGTGGCTGTACCATCTTCAAAGACAGATTCAGACATAAGGACTTTCATTGAGAGCAATAATCGCACCAGGAGTCCCAGCCTCCTTGCTCACCTAGAGAACAGCAACCCTTCCAGCATTCATCACTTCGAAAACATCCCCAACAGCCTTGCATTTCTGCTTCCATTCCAGTACATAAACCCAGTCTCAGCTCCGCTGCTAGGGTTGCCACCAAATGGGCTACTGTTAGAGCAGCCAGGACTGAGGCTGCGGGAACCAAGCCTGTCAACCCAGAATGAATATAATGAGAGCAGCGAATCTGAAGTATCTCCTACACCTTATAAGAATGATCAGACTCCCAGTAGAAACGCCTTGACCAGCATTACTAACGTGGAGCCCAAAACTGAGCCACCCTGCGTATCCCCCATTCAGAATTCTGCCCCAGTCAGTGATCTGACCAAAACTGAACACCCAAAAAGTTCATTCCGGATTCATCGGATGAGAAGAATGGGGTCAGCCTCTAGGAAAGGAAGAGTGTTCTGTAATGCATGTGGGAAGACATTCTATGATAAAGGTACTCTCAAAATTCATTATAATGCTGTTCACCTGAAGATCAAACATCGATGCACCATCGAAGGTTGCAACATGGTCTTTAGCTCCCTCCGAAGCCGTAATCGCCACAGCGCAAACCCCAACCCCCGCCTTCACATGCCTATGCTGAGGAATAACCGAGACAAAGATTTAATTCGGGCCACGTCAGGAGCTGCCACCCCCGTCATAGCAAGTACAAAATCAAATCTCACACTCACCAGCCCTGGCCGTCCCCCAATGGGTTTTACCACTCCCCCACTAGATCCTGTTTTACAGAGTCCTCTGCCTAGCCAGCTGGTATTTTCTGGGCTAAAGACTGTCCAACCAGTTCCTCCATTTTACAGAAGTTTACTCACTCCAGGAGAAATGGTGAGCCCTCCCACCTCCATTCCAACCAGTCCCATCATTCCATCCAGTGGTACCATAGAGCAGCACCCACCACCACCCTCTGAGCCAGCAGCACCAGTAGTGATGATGGCCACTCATGAGCCCAGTGTTGACCTGGCCCCCAAGAAGAAGCCCAGGAAGTCCAGCATGCCTGTGAAGATTGAAAAAGAAATTATTGATACTGCTGATGAGTTTGACGATGAAGATGATGACCCAAATGATGCTGGAGCTGTGGTAAATGACGTGAGCCACGACAATCATTGCCACTCCCAAGAGGAGATGAGTCCAGGCATGTCAGTGAAGGACTTTTCTAAGCATAGCAGGTCCCGGTGTATTTCAAGGACTGAAATAAGAAGGGCTGACAGCATGACTTCTGAGGATCAAGAACCTGAGCGGGATTATGAGAACGAGTCTGAGTCTTCAGAGCCCAAACTAGGTGAGGAGTCCATGGAGGGGGATGAGCACATTCACAGTGAAGTGAGTGAGAAAGTCCTGATGAACAGTGAGAGGCCTGACGAGAACCACAGTGAGCCCTCTCACCAGGACATCATCAAGGTGAAGGAAGAATTCACAGATCCCACTTACGACATGTTTTACATGAGCCAGTATGGACTGTACAATGGTGGGGGAGCCAGCATGGCTGCCCTGCACGAAAGTTTTACATCGTCTCTGAATTACGGCAGCCCTCAAAAGTTCTCCCCAGAAGGTGACCTGTGTTCTAGCCCTGACCCCAAAATCTGTTATGTGTGCAAGAAGAGTTTCAAAAGCTCCTACAGTGTGAAGCTTCACTATAGGAACGTTCACTTAAAAGAGATGCATGTCTGCACAGTGGCTGGCTGCAACGCTGCCTTCCCCTCTCGCCGAAGCCGAGACAGGTCAGTAAATCTCCATTGGCTGCTACTGCTGGGGGTGGAGGGTGCCAGTCATGTTGGACTTAACATTAAGAAATCTAGCTTAGATGTGTTTGATGCACTGTAAAGATTGTCCACAGTGACCACAGATAACCAAGCTGCCATGCTCATGAAAGATTGTTGCAGTTGGTGCTTGTCATGATTAAGCATGCAGAATCATGTGCCATCTTACCCAGTAATGCACGCCATTTTTCTCTGTGCTCTGTGTATGTGTGTGTATGTTTTTCCATGCATCTAGATGTGTGAATCAGTTGACTGTGTACACAGTTCCCTGCTTCCCCATGAACTTTCACTTAGAAGCCACAGCTTCTGTTATAAACATTTCTGCTTTGCCTTGTGGCTTTTTAATTAAATCAATATATTATCTTCATACACACATATTTATCCAATATAGAAACAGAAACTTACGGATGGAAAGAACCGTAGGTCCAGGACATCGAGACAGCCTGCATCTCCGTAGGTATAACCAGAAATGTTATCATTCTTACCTGAGTATTTAGTGTATCCTTGAATTCTGTGAATCATGAAAATATCAGAAGAAAATGGGACCAAAGTAATTGTTAATATGGGTAAATGATGTGGTGTAGATTTCTTTATTTTAGCTTGACAATGTCTTTAGCAAATCTCAGCACAATATACTCTATCGTGGGAATTATGCACAGAAGGGGAGGCATGCATATATTTTTAGGAGCTCTTAGAATATATAATGTCCAGCTTTCAGATGACATCACACCTTAGCTATGTAGCTGCAGCTCTGAAACAGTTGGGCTTAAACAGAAGCAGCTGGTCCTGAACCAACAATGTTCTTTTTTAGTCCTAAAGAAAATGTCATATAAATGGAATGTGTCAAGGTGGTCAGGGGTGGGGTACCACAGTTACCCAGCCCTGAGGGAGATACACTTATGAGCATATCATTTGCATAACGCACCAGCCCAGCTAGAGACACACCAGCTCATTTTCCTATTATATTAGATATGTTTTTTGTTTTACATTGTCTTTTAAAAATATTTTTAGAGAAAAATTTATTGCATGCTAAAAATCAGTATATGTAGAAGAAACAAAATTAGCTAGGAAGTTTGCCCATAGCCACCACCCAGATGCTAGTGCTTATCAGTTAGGCAGAGCCTTTGACAAAGTAACATATAATAAAAGTGCCACTGGAAAGTAGTGACCTGCTCCTAGAATATTTAAAACATTAGTCTTTTTTAAAAATAAAAGTTAAAGTGTATTTTATTGTATTGAAGTACAGTTCAAGGGGCCCAATTCATGAAAAGCAAAATTTCTGAGAAAAATAAGTCTTACTTTATACAACTCAAAACATGCTTTGAAGAGAAATCTCTCTTAAAGATTTCCCCTCCTGAAGCCCCTCCTCCCACTCCCATTTATTTACCTTGTTCTGTGAAAATCGTTTGTGGTCACCAAGTTCATTTCAGTTCCAAATTATCATCCACAGCCCCAGAATATGGCAGACAAGATAGCTATACTGTGAATAATAAAATATAATACTATACCCAACCTTTTCTTCCCCAAGTTTATAATGTTCATTCTTTTAAACTTAAAATCGTGCACTAGTGATAATGAGGTTAATGCATTGGATTTTTTAAACAAAAATAAAAGACTCATGAAAACTGCATAAAATATTTATGAAAATGGAATGTTTGAAGATAAGCCAAAATTTAAGCTTATCCGCATGAATTCCTACCACAGTTTTAGTTGGTCTGCTGAAAATATTGTTAAGTCATAACACTGGAATAAAAAGAGTCTAGGACCAAAGGTCTACAGAACTCAAAGCTTCGGTGCTTTCCTCTACACCACTGTGTTTTTATGTTTTAGTGCATAAGCAGGTCCTGTTGAGAAGGTGGTTTGTCTAAGGAAAAAACATTTATTGATGAGGGAGTATTTCAATATTCATTTTTATTCTAAGGATTGGGAGCTTGGTGAATGACCAGCCTTATGGGAATTTAGACCAGTATATTCTAAGTGGGAAAATAATACTGATATTCTCCCACGTACATTCAGTCACACAAGATATGGCAAACCTCACAAGACAGGTGACACATTTCATTGTGCTGAAATATCACATCACACCTAATCGTTTTAATTCTGGATGTTGTCACACATGATCAATGAAGAAAAACAAATTGAAAAAATACTCTACGAAGAAAGTTGTTTGATTTTCACTTAAAATTTTGCTCTTCAGGAATGCTCAAATATTTTGATCCCATGTTAAAAACTTAACAGAAACTGATACTTTAATTTTGACATTTTTTCCTTAAGAAGAAAGATGTTCATCCCTGTTGAATCTACGATTTGAATTAATATGCAATGAAACTATGTTTACCACCTAATAACCAGAAATAGTGATTTCTTTTGGGTACCGGCCTCTTGCTGCATCTCAGCAGATTGGACTTGAACATAATTTTTTCCTGTTCCAGCCTTTTATCATCATTTCATCAACTAATATTGACCTATAATTTCATCTCCTTGTTCACAAAGTCTCTTGAATCACATCTCTGATCCATCCCTTAGACTTACCTTACCCTTTCCCTTCACTTTTACTGTGCTAGTCACAAGAACCCCAGGACTTTTGTGTCCCTGCTTTTTGCTCTGCAATGAAGCTAAGGCAATTTTTCTTCCTTTTCTTTGAGCCAACAGACCTTCCAAAACAGAAACCATCCTTTGCCTTTAATCCTGTTGTCCTCAGGCCCATTCCTTTCCCTTCCCCAGAGTCTCGATTCATCCATCCTTGACTGCACAATGTCTTCCTTGTGCAAATAAAGCATTAGAAGGGATTTTGACTGGGGGCTGAAGTGTGCAGAGCTACAGGACTTCTAGGATGCCTGTGATAAAGCTAACAGAATAACCTTTCCCTTCTGTTTATAAAAACAGCCTTTTGTCTTCGGGCTTGGAACACCTTATAAGAGTGGTACACAAGTCTTCTTGGGCTTCTTCCAAGATGGTTATACACGAGGGAGCTGCATTTTTGTCTCTAGATAGGCATGTTAATAAGAAAGTAGAAAGATGTTAAATACTATATTTGAGATTTGGCAGCTAGTTAACAGAGATTCCCAGACCTTTGCTATGGTCTTTCTAGATTTTACAAGATTAAGTTGAAGGCTTTTTGATTAGCAAGAATGTTCTTTGTTTAAAGTCAGCAAAAAGGGAGAAAAGAGAGAAGGGCACACATGGCTGAGGATTCTAAGTGTCCTTCTTTACACAGTTGTGAATGAATGTGAACTTAAATTCAAAAGCAAAGAGGATCATTCACATTAATGACGAAGAGCAAGCTAATACACACAAAGCCTAATTCATTCTGTCAGCATGTGAATGTTAGAATAACGTAAATTATTTTCTCTCTAAAGAACTATGATACTAAAAGGTAATTGAGTGTGTACTGATAACATTATGTAGGGTTAGTCCTGAAAATCTCTGAACACCCTTCCTTCCTTTTTGTTTATCCCATGATCTTTGTGCTACTAGGATACTACTATTCTGTCAGGGAATAGGAAGTTGGCCCTCAGTTTTTTGTTTGTTTAGTTGTTTATTTTAATTTTTACTGATTTTTGAGAGAGACAGACAGACCTTGATTTGTTTTTCCACTTACTTATGCATTCACTGGTTGTTTTCTTGGATGTGCCCTGTCCAAGGGTCAAACCTGCAACCCTGGCGTATCAGGACAATGCTCCAACCAACTGAGCTACCCAGCCAGGATGGGCCTCAGTTTTGAGGTATTCACATGAAATACTCCCTCGGAAGAAGAAATTATAACTAATGGGCCTAGAAACTACAGTCTTTATAAGGGAAATTTTCTTGAAGTGCATGTCATAGAATTAGCTGGGCCTACTTTGCCTTTGGTCCTATTCTTGCCCTCTGTCTTGAATTTGGATCCCCAGGAGGGCTGAGTAACCGTGGATCACCTGTACTGAAGGGAACCCCATTTATAAATTACATTTGTTTTTTATTCAGAATATAAATAAATAAATACCCTCTGTCCTCTTCTTCCGTAAAATTCCTTACCACTTGCTAATATGTTAAAGCCTATTTACATCTGCTTTAGAGATTGGCAATTTTAAAACCCCCTCAACAAAAATGAAAACTTTCTATACATAAACTTGGTGATCTACATAGAAAAAAGTATGTGTCTCTTTGTTTTTTCATCTTATATGATTTTTACCACTTTTGTTCCTCTCTTTCTCTGAGAATAGTAGCCACTAATTGCCAATGTTTGTCTTAAATTTTATCAGAAAAGTGAATGTATTTGTTTGATCTTCAGGGTGCAGGAAAGGTGATTCGATTCCATGAATAAATTAAAAAATAATAATATTTGCTTTGGGTGAGTTATAAATAAATATGAGGCAACCATTTGATACCAAGTGTGAGCCTTCTCTTTGATTGCTTGTTAAACCTGTCCAGATTTAAACATGTAAACTTCTTGATTTGTATGGAGTAAGACATCTGCATTTGGTTTATTAAAACCTGCTGATGTCTCAAGAACTAAATTTGTTTGTGTATCAGCCTCTAGGTAGCTGTAGCTAAAAAGCAGAGATACATAGTTTTTGCTTGTCTGATTACCTGACTTCCAGCCCTGTACAGGTGTGCAGGAATAAATTAACATGAGCTACCTCTGATGAGCCACTGCATGCATTAACAACAGAGGTGAAGATGTGAAAACATGCTACCTGCCTCCTGTTATCACCTTCTCAGCAGCAGCATTGATTTTTTTCCATCATTAACTGTGTTAGGAAACTTACAGAGAACTTTTCTAAGGAGAGATTTTCAATAATTACACATGATTTCACTAGGCAATACCTCCATGAGCCACTTAGCACCAATTCAGGATAACTATTAGTATATTCGCCCTAATATAATTAGCTGTCAAATACAGTATGTTAATCCTCTCTCTGGTGTCAGCCATTTATTTCATTTCCTATATGTTTGCCAATCAAATTGCAATTCTCCTTTTCCAAAATTATTTTATGAAGTGAAGTTGTACAGGTCCTCTGACTCCTAATTGTTAAGGAAGAGATTTTTTTCCTGTGTTACTCTATTTGATTTCACAATAAAGCCAACAGATCAATAGGTCTTTTGTACTTATCTCCATTACTTTCCATCAAAGGCAAGCAAACAAAATAAATCCCCCTTCTGAGTAATTGCTAGTTGTGCCCTCCTCAAGCGAAACTTTGGTAGTAAGATAAACTTCAGTGTCATTCCTGTCTCTGGGGTTCTTTTTATATGCTAGGAGAAGAGCAATGAGCAAGACAGTCTCCTAGTATCATAAGGAGAGACTCTGTCAAGCCTGAAGTGAGCCTCCTATCTTCCTAATGACCTCCTGCTGGCCCAGCTGGATGTAAGACAAGCTCATTTAAGCCTCGGCTGACCTTTCACTCCTCCACCCCAAGAACTACACCAGTCACTTCCACCAAACTGCCTACCAAATAGACAACAAAGCCTAATGGCAGG